GGGCATGAAGCATCGCCTGTGGGTGTACTCGGGCCGCAGGGGCGTCCACTGCTGGGTGTGCGATGACGCGGTGCGGAAGTGGTCCCCGGTGCTGCGGGCAGCCGCCGTGGAGTACCTGACCCTGGTGAAGGTGGGTGCACAGGGGGCTGGGCACCCCCTGCCCGCCCCCCCTGAGGCTGACCGCTGCTGTCCCCCCAGGGTGGGGCAGAGACCGTGAAGAAGGTGAACCTCTCCGATCCCATCCACCCCTTCATCAGGTCAGTGGGGACCCCCCTGCCCAGCCCCGCAGACGCCAGCCGCAGGGCGCTGAGCCTCTCCCCGCTCCTCCGCAGGCGCTCGGTCGGCGTGGTGGAGAAGTACTTTGAGGCGTACGCGCTGGTGGGCCAGGACATCCTGGGCAGCCCGGAGAGCTGGGAGAAGGTGCTGGCCCTCGTCCCGGAGGATATCCTTGCCGGAGCAGCCCTGCTGCACCGCTTGGCACTGTGCCGGGTCTGGAGGGAGGGTCTGCTCGGGGGGAGCGGGGTCGGCAGTGTCTGTGGTCAGCCTTGACCCCTGGCCACAGCACCGCGAGCCGCTGCAGGGCGAGTTCCCCAGGAAGCGGGACTCGGTGCAGCGCTGGGAGCTGCTGAAGGGCAGGATGGAGCGGACGCGGGTGAGTGGCTGTGGAGCTGCCCCAGGCGGGAGGCCGGGGGCCACCAAAAAGGTGCCACCCCCTGCCCCGGTGCCCCCTGAGCCCCTGTCCCTGCAGCGGACGGCGGGGACCGGCAGGAATGGGAACACGTCGTGCTACGCGGACTGGGAGATCATGCTGCAGTACTGCTTCCCCCGCCTCGACATCAACGTCAGCAAAGGCCTAGGGCACCTCCTGAAGAGCCCCTTCAGCGTCCACCCCAAAACAGGTGGGTCTGACAGCCTGCGGGGCTGGCACCCCATGGGGACTACCGCGGCCGGGCCCCCCCGGCGGTGACTCCGCTCTCTCGCAGGTCGCGTTTCGGTGCCGCTGGATCTGCAGAGGCTGGACCAGTTCGATCCGTTCGCTGTCCCCACCATCAGGTATGTGAGTGGGGCTGGTGGCACGGGGAGTCCCAGCTGTGCTGGCAGTCCCCCCCCACATCCCCCCAAGCTCCCTGTGCCAGGAGCTGGACGCGGCCAGCGATGACGGGGAGCAGGATGATGGCGGGGAGACGGAGCCAAAGCGCCGTGCGCGGGGTGAGCGGGGCCGGGGCCAGGCACGGGGGGCTCCCCACCGCCTGCTCCCGCTCCTGCTCAGCTCCCCAAATCCTCCAGACTACAAGAAGACGAGCCTGGCGCCCTACGTGCGGGTCTTTGAGCAGTTCGTGGAGGAGATGGAGCGTGCCCGGAGGGGAGAGCTGCTCCGGCAAAGCGGTGAGTGCCGGGCAGCGATGCAGCCGGCTGGGGGACCCCGGAGGGGCGACCCCGTGGCTCTGAGAAACTGCTCTTTTTCTGTAAAACTTCCCATTTCTCCTCTTTGCAGACCTCCAAGGAGACTTCTGAGGCCTCGCTGCTGGGGGCCGCAGGGCTGCCGAGGGACTGACTGCCA